AATAAAAATAGTAAAAATAATTTGCAAAATATAAATTGATCAAAATACCCCTGAAACATTTCGGGGGTATTTTGGTTAATTTATTTTTCACAAAATATTTTTTTGATATTTTTATTTGATTCTCCTATTTTTAAAGAACACGCGTCCAAAATTTCAAGTGATTTGGATTTATATTAAAAAAAATTAAAATTAAAATACGAAATGCAATCATGATCATTGGATTGGCCCACATTGAATCTGGGCTATTGGGTTCATATATAGCTGTGGGATAGTGGGCTTACGCCAGTATTTTATATATATATATATATGTATATATATATATACACGTCATCTGCATGAGAATATATCATAACAAGTCCCACTCTAAATCTTGCAGGTCTCTACCTTAAGTAAGGGTCCCCTGCACAACAGCCCGCACCGTCAACCAGCACTGTTTACCCATCCCAGTAGCTATGGCAGTGTTGGGAGCTACGGAAGCTATAATGAGAGTGGTAATCTTGGTAGTAGTTACGGCAGCTATGGGGACAATGCTATATATATAGGTTATTCCTCTTTTCGTCCATCTGGATTGAATAACCAGGCTCAAGGAGGGCAAGCAATCCTCGGTGCCAGCCCAGATGCTAGGTGGCGAATGTCCCAAGTTCCTCATGGGACTGGTTTGGGCATCAGTCCAGGCAATGGGAATATTAGGCCAATGTCTTTGGGGGTGAGCCCCTCTCAGTTTACTCCACCAAGCTCCCAAATGCAAGCAATGCAAATATCAGCTTGTTCTCCTGGTCGATATGGCCCCACCTCTCCAGCAAGGGGAGGTGTCCATGGATCCCCTTTAGGCAAGGCAGCAGCCGTTGCTCAGTATAACAGGAGAAGAAGCTTGGGTTATCAGGGCAATATGGGCATGTCTCCTCAAGAGCATCGAACTATGTCCCTTGGTGATGGTTCAAATTGTCATTTGGAAGGAAACTCTTCTAGGGCATATATAGGTTCATCGCGTGGCATGCAAGCTGCTTCTAGCTTGAGGCTGCAGAAAGGAGCAAATGGGTTCTCCCAAGGACACACTTCTTTCGGCCATCAAAATCCGCCACTGTCATGTGGCTTTGTCTCTCATGGGCCATTGTCGCCTACCTCAGAGGCATCTTGTGATAAGCCTGAAAGCAGTTCACCACCTCCTGATCCTGGTGATTGGGATCCCAATTACAGGTTAGAAGCTAAGCTTGTGTCTGAGTTATTGTTTGTGAACATGTAATTGCCTTTAAAATTGTTTGTTTTGCCATATTATACTGTTTTGGTTGTTTCCAGATCACTAAATAATTGACAATCATTTCGGCTAATCATTTTTTATATTAATCCTACAGCAACAGGTGGAATCTATACTATATTATAAAGCGCTGTGTGTCTGTATGTCATTCCATGCTATATAGTATTGACGCACGGCATCAAATATCTTTATCTTCTTGAACAGAAAATAGTAACCCATATTTGTTCTGTCCCAAAAATTCACTCCTCTACGTACATTCTCTTCAAAAAGAAGTTTGAAGTGTAATATCTCTTCACCTCCCTCCCCCCCTGTCTTCCCCCTTTACAAAGTAGGAAAAATTTAGTTATCACTACTTTCTAGGACTCTTACAAAGCAATCTCTCTCTCTCTCTCTCCCGCCCCTTCCTCCCTCACTCTCTCTTCTCTCTCCCGCCCCCTTCCTCCCTCCCTCTCTCTCTTT